TATTACTTTTATTTACTGATATCGTGTAAACGTTAATTAGCTGATAGGGCTTTTAAGTGAAAGTAGCTCAAACGCTTAGAAAATTGTAAACCTTTACCTACTTTTTCCCACGGGACTCGCACTTGGAAATACTGCCGTTTTTTAGTCCCATCAAGTCCAAAATTAATTGTTTACTAAGCTTTAAACAAGCAACTTTACTCTATATGCAAAACATGAGGCAATTAAACTGAGCCTCTTCTTCCTTGAAAAATTAGTAGGCACGTTTAAACGTGCTGAAGAAACAAGTACCGAATTTACCATTTGAGTGCAGAAAAAAAGGCTATTACATACCTTCCAATAATAGCAGTGATTCAGCCCTTTTATTTGAAAAAATTGGTGGCTCTTAAAAGAGCCTTTGGGTTGAAAGTGACGGTCCGAGACGCCCTACTTGGAGCTGGTGTACTTGGTGACAGCCTTGGTGCCCTCGGAGACGGCGTGCTTGGCCAGCTCGCCGGGCAGCAGCAGCCGCACGGCCGTCTGGATCTCCCGCGACGTGATGGTGGAGCGCTTGTTGTAGTGCGCCAGGCGAGACGCCTCGCCGGCGATGCGCTCGAAGATGTCGTTGACGAAGGAGTTCATGATGCCCATGGCCTTAGAGGAGATGCCCGTGTCGGGGTGCACCTGCTTCAGCACCTTGTACACGTAGATGGAGTAGCTCTCCTTGCGGCTCTTCTTGCGCTTCTTGTCGCCCTTCTTCTGAGTCTTGGTCACTGCCTTCTTGGACCCTTTCTTGGGCGCGGGCGCGGACTTTGCGGGCTCAGGCATGATGGCGAGCACTTCCTGACTGCTCTGTCGCGCCGGAGTGCCCGTGAGCGCGATTGCTCCGGTATTTATAGGGACCTTATGCAAATCCCTGGTATCAGAAATCAGCGCTTCCATTGGACAGCAGGCTCACTGACGTCACCGACAGCTCGGACTGTTTCGCCATTGGTCCTTTTTGAACACCTCGCTACTATTGGTCAATGGTTCAAATCCCGTCAGCCAGTAAGAATGAGCTCTTTCGATCCCACCGCCCGGTGGCGAAGCTCGGCCTGTGCCGTCCCCGGGGTCACCCGGAGCGTCCGCACCGTGTGTCCCCCGCCGCTGCCAGCACCGAGTGTGCTCATCGGCAGTTTCTTCGGGGGAAAAAAAAAAACCACCACCCAAAACTATAGGAAATTGCAAGGGGGATTGTAATTTTTTTTTTTCCCTTCAAGCAGCAGCATACCGTCTCATAAAAATCTGCATTTGTAACAGCCACAAGATAGATATAAACGGGGAAAAAAATGCAACCAGAAAACAAACACAAACACTGAAAATGATACTCCAGATTAATTCTTTTGGCCCTCAGAACATGGTTTCTTTTTCAGTACTTTAAATGAGATGGAAGTTCTGATTTAATTTGTAATGTGAAATAATGAGGATTTCTTTTGAGATGCAATAAATACTGGATGGCAGTGTTTAAGTTGAAACCAAGATAATCCTAGAAATTAAGTGTGCTGTTTATTCTGCAGTTTGAATTGTATCATGAACCAGAAATTCCATCTGTTTTATTGTGAATATGACTTCATTGTATAAGATGAAAGCATTTTTTCTTTTAATAGACAAAAATTACTTAATGGCATAAAGGATTCTGTTATGCGGGGGAATGTTTTGTTTTTTTTTTTTAAATTAAAATGCTATGTGCCAACACTATAAATTACAGTTATAAATTAATTTGCTAAATTAGAGCACTATTATTCACTACACTATGGGAATCAAGCTAATTTGTAGTTGAATGAATGTAGGACTGGAAAACTGGTATCAAATAACCAGTGCTATAATGATTCATTTTGGAAATCTTAAGGACTGTTCAAAGTCTGTACTTGTTGGGTATCAGGGTGACATGGGCCTATACAAGAAACCTATCTGGCACAGATGAAAAAAGGTCTCTAACCTTACCCTGCTGACTTACTTCTGCTTTTTTTCCCTTCTACCCGGCTAGGCAGAATTATGGATCCACAAAGATTTCCAGCCTATGTCCAAAAGAGCGCTGTTCAAAAAAAGGGAGCCAAGTAACGAAAGGGTGGGACCTTTTTCCTTCCCATTGAGGGAGGCTTGACAGTGCTTCTGCTGTAGTTACCACCCAGACTGGGGAGACAAAAGCAGTGCTGAAAAGAGCAGCTTTGTGCAACCTCAGTGATGCTGCAGCTATGTTTTTATGTCTGCTCTCCCTCCCCAGCCTTGCTCCCTCTCATCCAGAACAGGAAGGGACAGATGTTCATCCATCTCCATTTGCTCTGCTTCCTGCCCAGCAGTCTCTAGCAGCTTCATCAAGTCAGACAAAACCTAGTAATGCAGGAGGGAGCAGAGGCATTAAGAAGAAAGCAACACCACCCAAAACAAATCAACCTACCCCGCTTTTGCAAATCAGGCACCCCCATAGCTATGTTAATCCTATATAGTGTGTGGATTGGCTCCAACAAAAATGACAGTTGATCCAAGACTCAGAAATTCTCGGTTTTAACGAGTTTTATAATCATCAGTTAGAGCATATAGAGAAATTCAGATTAAAGCCTTCACTGTGGAAAGGTGGCAATTGTAAATCCAAAAACTACCCCTTCATTTTATCCTTCCTCTTAAAATACCTTTTCAAACAAACAAATAAACCCCCCAGACCCCTAAACCAACAGCCTATTAGTAACTGAAGGCCAGTAATTTGTGCTCTAGTGTAGTTGCATGTGCTGCCCCTTCATAAAGAGATAAAACTGAAGAGTGCTGAAGGAAAAATAATTTGGGAAGGGAGTTGAAAGAGGGTTAGAAATTATTTATGTAAGGAATTCAAGGTTTTGGAAAGAACTGATTGTGGAAATCTTATCAGTTATAACAGAAGAGTGGAGTTTATTGCACTGTTTATGCAGAATATATGGGGAATTAATCTAGACAGTCAAGTTTCTCTCAACAGTCTAAAAAACATGTTCACAAAAGGGAATAGTTGATACCTGTTAACACCCTGTCACCCATTATCCATCTCACTTCAATAAGAATGGGGTTTCCAGTGACTGACCAAAGCTTTGGAGCACTCAAAAGAAATAATCATGTGGAATCAGGAAACCTAAGTGTGAAGGGAGAGAACAGAGAAAAGGTTTCATCAGCAGTTCTAGAACAACTAACAGATGTCAGAGCTTGATGGAGTCACCAGCCTATCTCGTGTTACAAAACAGTATGAACTGTGGGACTGTCTTATTCCCCTGGATGATGTACCTCCTCCATGTGAACACGTGCTACAGGCTGACAGTTTTCTTCCAGCTGGAAGTGTCTAGGAGGCAACAGCATGTAATAAAGGCAAAGCTACTTTAGTGTTTTGCCAGTGCAGCTCCTGGGTAAGCCCTACACAGAAGAGTCAGAAAGTTGTGTATTATCTCAGGCTTACAGAGTGTACCTGTGAAAAAGAGTACACCCAAAGAACAAACCAACAGAGAATATTAACCAAAGTGAAAAAGCAATAACAAAACTGTAGACTTCTAAGTATAGTGGGATAAACAATGGACATTTAGATTGATTTCTGAATGTAATTTCATTTTGGTCTGGTGTATTCTTCTGTGTGGAACACAGGGAAAAGAACCAAGATGAACTCCCAGGAAAAGTTATAGAACAGCTAGACCATCAGCAGGAGACACTTAGCACATAGCATCAGGGATAATTACAAATATACTGATGATAAGGCACAGCTCTCTAGTGGTTCTGATTATTCGGGAAGATTTCTAAAGTCTGTGATGAACCTTAGAATCACATTTGAGAAGCCGGGTTGCAAGGCTGCAGGATGCTACTGTTGATCTTTTAGTTACTGACATGGAAATATTATGCCTAATTGTCTTTATGCTCCATACCTTGCCATCTATAGTTGCAAGTTTTCTAGTTTTCTAAATTGTTGAGTGTTTCTATCATCTGAAAACCTTATAACTCCTCGCAGGAACATATAATATATGGGTCATATTTATATAGCATAAAGTAACCGTACTGAAAAAAAGACAAGGCACAGGAAAAGAATAAAGAAGGGGAGGAAGTCAACATGTATTTTCAAAAATCAAAAAGTAACATCTGGACACTTGAAACTACTAAAGATGATTAAGATGATGCAACTCATTAAAATGTTGTGTCCTTCATTCCCTGTAGAAGTATAACAAATAATAAATACTGCTTTGTGTTCAAAAAGTAGTATTATGCAAAGGGAAAAAAAACAGCAAAAGAGGTAGTTTAATATGTATCAAATAAACAGTAAGATCATGAAAATGATCAAACACATGCCACAACTTTAAAAGTACTTGAAGAGATACAGGTTTTTCGTGGATACATCAGATAAGGGACACAAATCAATTCCTTCGACAGGACGTCAGTCTCATAAAGACAAGGACGACTGATCATTAAGTCGGAAACGCGGGGCACGCACTAGACTTTCCTCCCTGCAAAAAATAAGTGAAAATGTCGCCCTCAAGGAAAAAAACCAAACAACCCCCCCACACACCTCACTAACTTTTCTGAGCTCTCAGTAGAAAACGGTAGATTTCCTGCAGTACCCGGCCCACCGCGCCCGCCCCTCTCGGCTTCCCGGCCGGGCCCTTTGTTGGGGCTCAGCGCGATGGCGCCGGCCGAACGCGGGCGGGACGCGGCGGGAGCGGCCCCGCCGCCACAATTGGACGAATTTTGCTGCAGCTCCGCGGTCGGCGAGACCCCGCTCCCCCTCGGCCCCGAGAGCGCCGACGGCGGGGCCGGGAAGCCGGGCCTTGTGCCGCGGGCACGGGGTGACCCCGCCCGGATCTGCTCCCGCGCCCCCCTCCGAGCCGCGGCCCCCCAGCCCTCTATGGGAGCGGTGGCGCGAACGTCCCGCCCCGGCCTGGCCCTGCCTCCCATCACAGTCCCCAACCAGGTCGGACCCACGGCAATATACAGCACTCTGGGGCAGCTTCCCGCCGCAGGTCGGTTGTAGCTCGACTCAGCAAACCATGTCTGGTAGAGGTAAGGGCGGCAAGGGGCTCGGCAAGGGCGGCGCCAAGCGTCACCGCAAGGTGCTGCGCGACAACATCCAGGGCATCACCAAGCCCGCCATCCGCCGCTTGGCTCGGCGCGGCGGAGTCAAGCGCATCTCGGGGCTGATCTACGAGGAGACCCGCGGCGTGCTGAAGGTGTTCCTGGAGAACGTGATCCGCGACGCCGTCACCTACACCGAGCACGCCAAGAGGAAGACG